TTTTTTTGTTTTTTTGTTTTTAATTTTTTATATTTTAAATTAATATATAAATGTTATTTAATTTTTTAAAAATTATTATTTAATTATTTATAAATTAATTTTATTTTATTTAATAAAATAATTATTATTAATTTAATGTATATATTATTATTTAAATAATAAATAAAATATTTTTTAAAAATTTATTAATCGGATGTCAACATCCGTTGAAGGTGAAACGGATGTTGACATCCGTTTTATAGAAGGGCAAATTAGGTATGGGGAGGTGCAGGGAGTAGTTGGTGGTGGTGGAGGGAGCAACTCCCTAAATTCTTTTATGCCATTCACGGAAGGCCCACACTTGCATCACATTCAAATCAAATTTGGGCTCAATCGCGTGACCTGATTCGGCAGCAACATTTCTATCCATACCCCTGTTCCATTGCACCCTCTTATTACGACTTCTCCTGTAGTCTGGCATTAATTTTTTTTTTCAAAAATATTAAAAATAAATAAAATTTTTAAAACTAAAAATATTCATCTACACTGAAATAGTTTTTTTTAAGAACTGTGATGATTTTCTACTGTAAATGAAGATATTTAAGAATGAGGTTAGAGTTTGCATTTAAAAAATAAAAGATTTTCAAAAATGTTTTCGGAATAGTTTTTTCAGTATTGTGTGGTTCTTAATTTTTCATTTTGATTGTAATTAAATGAGATTAATCCTTTTTGGACCTAAAATTTTAAAAGCAATATTCCTTAATGCAATTTTTTATTCTTATTTTTGGTGAAAATAAACATTTACAAAAATTACATATTTTTATATGCGTAATCGATTTTCAAATTCAAAATCCAGTTCTCACATATCATATCTTATTTTTCGGTTTTTTCTATAATTTTTAATAATAAACTAAAAATGGAAACTTCAAATCTCTGTTTCTGTTCTTAAATAATCAATTTTTTTTCTCCGTCCCATTACTATTTCCATTCTGAGATTCGATAATCAATATGTTTTATTAGTAGAATCATTCAAGTGTATTATTGTAAACCTATATAAAATTTTGTGTTGTTCTTCTAATTTTCTCTTTGACTTTATTTAGAAAAGCATTAATATGTTTTAGCGGGTTGTTTTGATGAAAAAAAAAAGATTTTGTTGTCTTTCTATGTAAATCTAATTAAAACATTACATTTGACATTATTTTAGTTAAAAGTCAAACTATATTTAATGATAAAAAATGAAGAGATTGTTGTCAATATCACCTTCCATGCATCTTCGTAGCATTGATTGAGTAAAGAAACAAATCATGGATATTGGAAGACAGGATGACCAATTGAGTTATGCACAAGTATTGCCCCACCTTAAAGGATGGTGAAGCTGCTATCGACAAAGATTGGATGATCGGCGAGGTGGGTTGAATGGCGGGGCACCTAGTCTCTTCCTTTCCTAGGTCTAAATTTAGTTTGATTATCAACTAAAATATTAATGTTACATGTCATGTTTTCATTGGATCTATAGAAGGACACCAAAATCATTTCTTTTAAAAGGACACAGGAGTAACACCCTTTTTTTTATCTCATAAATAAAAAATATATTATTACATATTTTTATGCTCTTTATAATCTTGTCATATCACATATGCATCTATTACTTCACTCTTCCATCTGTTTTTCCTCAAATGTATTATCACATAAAAATATTTCTTAAACAATTTCTTTTGAAAAATAAAAAGAAGTTTATTCTCCTCAGTTTCACCTTTAAGAAGCATCAGTTTAATCTTTAAGAAGTACTTTTATCTAATATAAATTAATCTTTAAGAAGTACTTTTATCTAATATAAATTAATCTCAGGTGAACTTTTAATAAATCTCTCACAAAAAGTTATATACATTTATTGTATAAGACTAGACATTAATGATAATTTGCGATAATGATTTTATAGTAAATAAAATAATAAATCAATAAACAACAAACTTTGTAGAATAAACTCTAGTTCATGATTCTTTAATACTATTTTAAAAAGTAGATTCTAAGTCTAATTCATCTTACAAAATTAATATGTAAGACGAGATTTGAATCTACTTATATGTTATAAATTAACCTTATCTTTAGTTGATATAAAACTTCCAATAAACAATAATATTCTATGTGAAAATATATAGAAACAAATTCTCCTAGAACAATTTATAAAACAATAAACTAATCTTAACCACATTGTACAATATTTTTTTTATCACATATACATGTCTAGATTCCAATGCCTTACGTTTCCATTTTTTCCATTTCCTTAGTGACCAAATCTCTTGATCGGTTAATCGTCACAAGGCACAAGCACGCATGCTCTTTGAGTTCTTCCACTTTTTTCCCAAATCCAGCATCACTTTTCCTAAGCTCCTTCACTATTTGCATAGATAATTTATCAATCTTCTTGTTCAAACAGAGCTGCATCATTGCCCTCACGTGTTCAATGTCATCGTAAAGCCGATCCACAAGTCTACTCATTGTATCAAAGTCTTTGTTTAATATATAAGATCCCTTAGCTGCCATATCAAGCTGCTCACAAACTTTACCAAGAAACCTTCTTGAAAACCTCAAGTGTGGAAGCTCCTTCTCAAGACTCTTACATGTAAATTTCAGAACCGTTGGCGTGACTACTGAAGTTAAAGCATGTGTTGTTACAGCAACCATGTCACACAGCACAGTAACACAACATGCTGACGTCTTCAAATATCTCTTTAGCTTGAAGTTTCTTTCCAGCGTTTTTCTCATTGATTTCAAACGATTCAACACTGATGAATTTTCATCACTGATGAGCTTGAAGTCATGATACTCGAGATTTGAAAAAGGGTTAGTCAAGATGAATGAGTTGAGCTCAAAAATGATAAGCTTCAACTTTTCTTTTGAGTCATCATCATCATTGTCCATGATTTGTAGAGCTCTTTGAATGAACTGGTAATTACAGTGAACTTGATTGATGTTTTTGAGAAGATGGCTGCAAATGAGGGAAGCCTCAGCACTGACGTGAAAGTAATCGAGAATGAGTTTCTTTAGTTCTGGTTTCTGTGAAAGGATCGTTGCATCAATGATGGTGTGTACAGTTTCTTGGTCTGGTTGAAGGAGGGTTTCTGAATATTTATTCTGGTTGGAATGAATGCAATGTTGGTGAGCAAGTAATTGAGCTTTGTCAAAGAAATCAACGTAGGATTTTGACCTTAAAGCCCTTAGATACTCTTCATGGAAGTTTACACTTTTTGATACATCTTTAGGTTGGTTGGCATCTGAAACTAGAAATGTAATTTTATTATGATAGAAATCAAATAGTTATGTCACACGATTATATAATATAAATAAAAAGTATTGTTAAAAGAGGTTTAATTAAAGATATAATTCTAAATCATTATATTTAATTGGGTTTATTATAGAAGAATTCAGCTTATCAGAATAAATTTAATCTGATTAAAAGTAGGCTGCTTTGATTCTTCTTTTTGGGTTATAATAATTATAGTGATTATTTTGAATAATGTAATTGTAATAAGAACATGATAATACAATACTTTGTTATCCAAATTAATTAATAATACTTATATATATATATATATATATATATATATATATATATATATATATTAGTTTTAATTTAAATTAGGAGATTTTGTGATATTTATCTTGGCAAATGCATCTCAGGGTCGACTGAAGGCCTAAAAAAAGCCAAAAAGTTTTCTATTAATTACTAATGATTTTAGACCTCTAAGAAAACAGATTTAAAAATAATTTTTTTAATACTAATATATAGCTTTAGGTCTTAAAAAATCAAAAAATAAATTTGTAATTAAAATGTTTCATTTTTAAGTTTATTTTAAACCTTTTAAACTCTTGAATCATCTATCTAAAAAATTATTTTCCTTGTATGCAAGCAAATTTTCATTTTTAATTCATCACAATTGTACATAACTACGCTATTAAGATAATTATAATCAATGTATTTTCATATTGAAATTGACATTACAAATATAAATGTATATTTTGATTCTTAGTACTTATTTAAATTAAAGAAAAAGTCATTCATTCTTCAAGTTTCATAAAAAAAAAAAGATATGGATTTTTTCTTTGTATTTCTATTATGGTTTCAATCATATATCATATTTCTCTAGGAGTAATATTATCTTCTTTATTTTCTTTAATCAAAGCCTATAAAGACAACAATTGCTATACAAACAGCTCATCGCAGGTGAGAAGCTTTGGCTCTGTTAGAACTAACTTAATAAGTACGCATATGCATACAAAAAAAAAGTATTAATAAAGAAATATCAAATAGAAATGAAGACACCTCAGTTTAAGGAAACTTTTTTTATTAATTTATCTTTGTTTGCGGAAAATTGTACTAAATATTGATATTTCCATTGTCTTAAATCTAAATATATCAATAAATGTGAGTTACGTAATATATAAGTTATTTAGAGCGCCAAATTATATAAAAGTAAGTAATAAATAAATAAAATAGTTTGGAAAATTCTTAAATACAATTGAATTTAACTTTAACAAAAAATATATATATTTTTATATAAAAATATTGTAAATTTCTTTCATAAACTTATTATATGATTATTTTAATTATATTATCAAAATAAATCAAGAAAATATTAGTATAACTACGGTCAATTTATATTAAAAAAAATGCATATAACTACTATATAAGTTTATGTAAAATTTTAAAATTGACGGAAATATGTTAAAAATGGGAAGTTGTCAAATATTCTGTTTATTTAAAATAAATATAATTATTTTTGCATCATTTTAAATTTTAATAATTTGCATATATTAAATATTATATATGAAAATATTCTAACTTAAATAAAAAAAAGTCTCATTAAAATACTACCTAAATGTCTCAGTTAAACTATAAAGTTTACGAAAAAAATGTAATAAAGTATTAGATAAAAAAATAATAAGTGCTTTGTATGTAATCAGTAAGTTAAGTTTAAATATTGATAAGTTCATATTTAAATTTAAAAAGACATGACTAATATGATTTTTTTATAGAAAAACTAAATACTGAATTGAATAATTGGAAATTTTATCGTATGCTCACAAAAATCTCCTGTTTAAGAATTAATGTTAGACATTTATTTTTTATTTTTAATGGAATCAAATTTTTAAAGAAAAAACTTTGAATTATAATATAAGTATTTTTATTACGAACGGTGCTGGAAATTATGCATATATTGAAGTTCTACAAAATTTTAACTCATTTAGATAAACAAGAAAGCTAAAAGATATCACATGCATATATTGAAATTATGCATTTATTTATCTAGAAAAAAAATGACTTCTACAACAACAAAATAATCGAATCAAGTCTTTCCCTCAACCTCTCAAGTTCTTCATTTCAAAAACAAAATAATTCAACTGATCCTGGAAAACTTCCTAATTAGGACCAGAACATCTAAGTTTTTTTTTTTTTCTTATTGTTCTTCGTTGCCTTTAATAAAGACAGAAATAGGTTAAGTGACGCAAAAGAATGTTTTGCAGATCATAGGTTGTAAGGACTATGAATTTGTAATGTTTTTGGACATTAGTCAAATGAAAAAGATGAAGTGATAAGAAGATACCTTGGCTAGACTTATTAAGAGCTCTTAATATTTGTAGCATGGTTGGTTGATCTTCGATTCTGATATTAACAAGTCTTTATGAGAATGAAGAATGATCCATTAATTGTATTGTGTTGAAGTTGATAAACATGTTTGCAATCTTTGTTTTTAAAGCCTCTCTCCATGGAGATTGTTCAATGATTGCAGTTTAAGCTTTCTTTCTTTAGTCATAATCACATTTAAGTTCTCTTTAATATTCTCATTACTTCTCCCAGTTCAAATGCTCATAAATATCCCTATTCTGTTACTAGATCTTTTCCAATATTTTAATTTTATTTATGTGCTATTGTTAATCTACTTACATTCGTTTGCAAGCTAACACAACTATGTAATGATGTGAACATATAGGCCTCTTGATATTTTTTAATTAAAATAATTAACCCTTCCAATATTTTTGTATATTTTTATTTGAAGTCATTTAATAAATCAGTACATTATTAATTTTATGTTAGTAAAATACCAAAACTGACAATATGCTTGTCCAAATGAAAATATTCTCAAGGTTTTAAGAAAAAGTTTATATTCTAATCATATAAAAAAAAATCGAAAATGAATTTTACTAGTAAAGTTCATAGTATGTTTTCTTTATAGTAAAAACAATTCTTAAAAGGAAAAAATGCATTAAATTATTAAGCAATTGATAATATTATTAATATATATATATATATATATATAATATTTTTATTTATTTAGGTTAATATTTAGTTTTAAAATTTACGTAGATTAGACAATTTAATTTAATTTTAATAATTAGTAAAATTAAAATTATTTTAGTCAAAAATATTCATTTTATTTAATTTTAATATTTATCTTTATTTAATTTAATATTAATTATAGTTAGTCTAATCATTTTTAGCATTAATTTTAAGTAATTATAAATCTAAATGTTTCTAATATATTTTTATACTATCTATTTATGTTAATATCAATTAAGTGCATACTAATATTATTTATGTATTAAATTGGTGTATTAATTATTTAAAATAGAGAAAGTCTCAATCCAAATACTTATAAAGTTATATTTAAACAATAATATAATATAATTTGTGAAACTAATTTGTACTAATGTGAATTTAGAATTTTACTTTCCTATTTTTCATTTATAAACACTCTTACATTCAAAGTGGCTTATCACTTTTTTTTTTATTTACATAAGACAAAAGCCTCTTTTCACCAAGAAAAAAGAGTCTTTTTCCTTACTAAGAGTTATTATTATAATAATCCCTTCAACCTTGCTCTCCAATAAGAAAGCAACTTCATCACAATGAGTTTAACCTCCTTCAACTTCTTCTGCAACATATATACTACTTTACTATCATTATTATGTTATATTTCGCAGGAAATATTGAATTATTTAAAATATATAAAACACTTAACATAACATATAAACTAGTTAATATCTTATTTTATATTAATTTATAAATTTTCAAATTTAAATATATTATATTTGACTTAATTATAATTAGTTTTTTATTTCAGATATAGTAACTCATTAAATATTTAACATACTTTAGTTTCATGGTGTTAAAATTTCAAAATCAATTTATATAATAATGTTAACTTAGTTATCATTATTTAGAGTCAACTTATCCAATACTATTTAGAATCAATTATGAAAGTTGGTATTATAATAAATTATAGTGTTTATTATTATAGTTTGAATATTGACCGAGTCTAAATATCCATTTTTTTGAAGTGTACACAACTTAATAAAAAATATCCATGTTTTGTTAATTGTCTATTATGGTGCAATTATGACAACTTGGAGAACCAACAACATAATCGGATAAGCTACTCAACCAATGATTTTGTTACTTTTGAGATTGAATTTCCCTAATTTGGATATTGAATCATTCAATCATTTCATGATCCAACACTTATTTTCTGACGTGCAAAATACTTTGCCACGCAATCCCCGGCAATGAAAGAAACTCCAAACATACTAAAAAAATCATAACCACAAACCAATTGAATGAGTTAGTATGAATTAATTCTTCCAAAATCTTCACTTTAAATGTTGTGATGAAAAAGATTTTAATAAATTTAATTAATTCGCTAGATTTATTGATGAAAATTAATGAACAATATTTAACATTAGTGTATACTATACATTATTATCATAATGATCCAAAGAAAATATATAGGGCAAGTGTTTGAAAACGCTTTAACTTTCATTGATAAAGTTTATTAAAGAGTATAAAAGGTGAAATATTTGTTAATAGAAATGTCTTTTTTATAGTTGGTAGATACTCTCCATTGTGATCTAGATGTGAATCATGTGAATTTCGAATAGGTTTCGATCAATAGAATAAAATTGTTAAAAAGAACACATTGTATCCGGAGATAATGTATACAGGAGATAATATTCTTATTACTTCTTATCTTATATTTTGTATATGTAAGACTCCTTTTTCTTTCATTGTGAATAAATTGTTGTATAAATAAGATATTCTTTTAATGCATTTTACGATAAATAATTAATTTAGTATAATAAATATCAACATATTTTGCTTTTACTATGATAAGAAACAAATATTGTTTTAATATAAAATTTTCAATTTTTTATAATGTTGTTTTTACTGATTTTTTATACGTTACATGTGTTTATTGTAAGGGCATGTAAAATGAATAAGGGGCCATTGGGCCTTATGTGGGGCAACCAAGCCCATCAGCCTAAGGCCAGCTTAACCTTAGGAAGGGCTCCTCAGTGTTCTTTTTCATTTTCCTGAGCTCTTTCCCTTTCTCTCTCTAAAACCCTTTCCCTAAAGATTTTCTCTGACTTTTCTTTAGATTCCCAGCTCCTTGAACCGTTGGAATTCGATTTAGGAGCTACCCAAGCGTCCGCGACGTAGAGGGCTTCATTTCTACCGAACATTTTCTTCATTCCGACCGGTAAGTCATTTTTTCCCTTCTCTTTCACTGTCTTTGAACCTAGGGCATGCGACGTCACTGGTGGCATGTTACTAGTGGGGTTTCATCTTCATATTTTCTGTCAAATCAAGCTCTAAGAGTTGTACCCTACCCCAATTTGGTGGTTTGTAGGTCTTGTTGAACTTGTCTCTGTGCGGGGTTACCATTTAGGGCTTCTTCCAAAGTGCTGTGATTTTAACCACCAAGGTAAGGGGAGCTGAATACTTCTTTAAATTTCTTGCATGAAGTGTATGTATATTGGATTTTGACTTTGTGCACTGTTTGGAGTTGTATTTTGCGTTTTAAGTATGTTGTATGGTATGTGTTGATATGTGAAATCCATGAAACTGTGTTGAGCTGTTTTGAATTGAATTGGATGGGTTTGAATTGCTATAATTGACCAATTCGAAGTAATTTAAGTGTGAAAATCTGGTATACTCTAGTTGGGTAGAAAATTTGGGGTTTTAATAGTTTTTAGGTCATTTTGAAAGGAAGTGAGGTAGTGATTTTGAGTAAATGAGGGCTGCAGCGTTCTTGGACTGTTGGGGCAGCCTAGATAAGTCCATTGCGACTTGTTAGAAGCATAAAAATGGTCTAAAACATGTGCCAAGTAGAAAATTCTGATTTGGGTCCCTAAGTTGTTGAAATTGGTGTTTTAGAGTTAAAATTGAACTTTAATCACTTTAAAATGGTAGTAGTAATGTTTAGAATCATTTAGATAAGTTTAATTAAGTATAAAACAAGAATTAAGGGTGTTAGAAGTTAGTAAAAATGGTTAGAAATGGTCATGTTGGGTTCTAGTAGCAATTATGCAGAATTCTGTAAAATTATGCAGAACGCTACAGTTGACCATTCAGTCTTAGTGGGTGGTATTGGTAGCATTCGGTTTTAGTGAGTGGTCTTGGTAGCATTCGGTCTTAATGGGTGGTATTGGTAGCATTCAGTTTTAGTGAGTGGTCTTGGTAGCGTTCGGTCTTAGTGGGTGGTATTGGTAACGTTCGGTTTTAGTGAGTGGTCTTGATAGCGTTCGGTCTCTCTTAGTGGTCGATCCTAAATAGTGCTCAGCCACTTCTTCAGTCTTTCCTTTATGGACCGTTCGGTCATGTCCTTTGGGAAGTGAAATAAGTGCTCAGTCAAAGTCTAAGCGTTCGGCCAAGGCCCTAAACGTTCGGCCAAGGTTTTTAGTGTTCGGCCAAGGCTCTAGGTGTTCGTCCAAGACTCTAAGTGTTCGGCCAAGGTTCTAAGCGTTCGGCCAAGGTTCTAAGTGTTCGGCCAAGGCTCTAGGTGTTCGACAAAGGCTCTAGGTGTTCGGCCAAGGCTCTAGGTGTTCGGCCAAGGCTCCTAGTGTTCAGCCAAAGGTCTAGGTGTTCGGCCAAAGCTCATAGCGTTCGGCCAAAGCTCTCAGTGCTCGGCCAAAGCTTCCAGCGTTCTGTTCAAGCTCATTTGCTCTTGTTTTGGTTTGAATTAAGTGTGCGGAATGATTGAAATGCATAGTATGATCGTGGTAATGTTATTATACTGAAAGTATGTGAATGTATGAGACATGTTTGGTGGTTGAATGTAACAAGTATGTGTAATGAACGTAATTCCATGGCCTCAAGGTGAGGATTCATGGTGATGCCCTCAGTGTTTGTAATGATTGCATGGTAGCTCAGTTTTGGGGGTTTTCCTGACGCTCCAATGGTCTTTCATTCTCAAGTATAGAGGATTGATCCATGTGGTGAGGAGTAGTAGGAGGTCCTAGTTTTGGAGGTTTCCAGTATGCTCCAGGGTGCGGAACGTATTAACCTCGTGAGTGTGGTAGGGTGGAACCCATTGACAACGACTTTGGAAAGCAGTAGAGGCCACCATGAGTGCATAACCCGCCATAGCTCGGCAATCATTATAGTCCGGACGAGTCGGTTTATAAAGCAACAAGTCTTTTGATGTCATGTTACCATGTTTGAGTGAATTTTGCATGTCGATAAGTGTGATTGAATAACATGCTTTTTATATCTAGCTCACCCTTGCTTGTTTGTGCTTATTTGTGTATGTTTCCTTTGCGATGATCATCCACTTGGATGGGAGCAGACGACGAGGAGGTTCTTTTGGAGACAGCTTTGGAAGATGATGACAATGCTGTTGCCTAGTCTCCTAGGATGTTATTAG